AGGGTAGCTGGAATTACAGGTGCCCACCACCATGTCCGGCTAATTTTTATGTGTTTAGTACAGATGGGTTTTTACCGTGTTGCCCAGGCTGGTCTTGAACTCCTGGGCTCAAGCAATCCACCCACCTTAGCCTCCGAAAATGTTGGGATTACAGGCATGAGCCACTGCACCCAGCCATCTTTCCCTTGTTCTAACCTGGTGAAAAGAGAGTGGGAGGGGTTGAGGGAGATTTCCATGGCCTCTCTTTTTAAAGATGCCTTCCTAAAAGTTCTACACAACGCTTTCACTGCCAGAAGTTAGATCCATGGTCGCACCTAGCAGCAAGAGTGTCTGGGAAATAGTGCTTATATCAGGTTCTGTTATTAAGTTAGGAAAATGGGTATTTGGCATCCAGTCTCTGCCACAGTGAGCAAGTTGAGAGAATTTCTTTCTTTTTTTAAAAAAATTTTTTTTTTGAGGCAGAGTCTCACTCTCTTGCCCAGGCTGGAGTACAGTGGCGTGATCTTGGCTCACTGCAACCTCTGCCTCCTGGGTTCAAGTGATTCTCCTGCCTCAGCCTCCCAAGTAGCTGGGATTGCAGGCGCATGCCACCATGCTCAGCTAATTTTCATATTTTTAGTAGAGATAGGGTTTCACCATGTTGGCCAGGCTGGTCTCGAACTCAGTTTATCCACCCACCTCAGCCTCCCAAAAGTGCTGAGATTATAGGCCTGAGCCACTGCACCTGGCCCAAGTTGAGAGAATTTCTGGTAGCTTCTATTTCTTTGAGGTTAGAGGCATAGTAATTCACTGAAAGAGCAGAAAGGATGGGGTAGCTGCCTTTCTGGGGTAAAAGTCTGAAATAGGCCAGGTGGGTGCACTGGTGCACACCTATAATCCCAGCACTTTGGGAGGCTGAGACAGGAAGATCATCTGAGCCCAGGAGTTCGAGACCAGCCTGGGCAACATGAGACCTCCTCTCTACAAAAAATTTAAAAATTAGCTGGGCTTGGTGGCATGTGCCCATGGTTCTAACTACTCAGGAGAATGGCTTGAGCCCAGCAGGTCAAGGCTGCAGTGAGCCGAGAGCCTGCCACTGCACTCCAGCGTGGGGGACACAGCAAGACCCTGTTTCAAAAAATAAAAGTCTGAACTTCATGCCTGTAATCCCAGCACTTTGGGAGGCCGAGGCAGATGGATCAGGATGTCAGGAGTTCAAGACCAGTCTGGCCAACATAGTGAAACCCCGTGTCTCTACTGAACATACAAAAAATTAGCCAGGTATGGTGGTGTGTGCCTGTAACACCAGCTACTCCGGAGGTATTACGGGTGCACACCACCAGACCCAGCTAATTTTTTGTATTTTCAGTAGAGGCAGGAGAATCGTATGAACCTGGGAGGCGGAGGTTGCAGTGAGCCGAGATCATGCCATTACACTCTAGCCCAGGTGACAGAGCAAGAATCAGTCTCAAAAAAAAGTCTCAAAAAAAAAAAAAAAAAAAAAAAATTCAAACTAATGGGAATAGTGAGACATGACTGAAGTGAGACAGGCAGAAAAATGTTTCAGCTGGGTTAGGAAGACATGAAGTTATGGTACATCAATCTTCACAGTGATATGATTTTCTTGGTAGCATTCAACAGTCTGCTATTAGCAGATCAGTGATGGAAACTGTTGTTCAGGAAGAATGTGTACAAGGTTAGTGAAGAACACTGGTGAATCTGTCCCAGTCTGTTACTGCAGATATGGTGTGACATAATCTAAAAATTCAGTTAATCTTATTTATGGTGAGAATTTTCTAGCCTTATACATACTGCATCTCAGGAGATGGCTCAAATGTTTGAGGTATAGAAGAGGAATGCCAGATGCATCAACAAGGTGAGTGAAGTAAACCGGTCTTGAAAGTCCTTTCTGATTTCTCTTATGAAATGTAAAAAGTGTCTCAAATTCTTTTATTTTTTACTTTTTTGAGACAGAGTCTGACTCTGTCGCCCTGACTGGAGTGCAGTAGTGCAATCTGTGCTCACAGCAACCTCCGCCTCCTGGGTTCAAGTGATTCTTCTGCCTCAGCCTCCCTAGTAGCTGGGACTACAGGCGCTCACCACTATGCCCACTAACTTTTGTATTATTAGTAGAGATGGGGTTTCGGCATTTTGGCCAGGCTGGTCTCCAACTCCTGGCCTCAGGTGATCTGCCTGCCTTGGCTTCCCAAAGTGCTGGGATTACAGGTGTGAACCACCACACCCAGCCCTCAAATTCTTTTAAATTATTTTATTTTATTTATTCTACAAATATCTAATTAACACCTACAATATGCTCAACATTGCTGTAGTCAAATGGACAAAGTATTTGACTTCATTAAGTTTACTCGCTGGGGCAAGAGAAACAAATACATAATGTGAAGAAGGCCTTTATGGCCATTCCCCTTCTGTGTAATTCCAGGGGTCACAGCACTTCTTGTAACAGTCCCCCGATCTAGTTTCTCTCCCCTCCAAACCTTCCTACGTTTAGCTGTCAAATTAATCCTCCTATCCTATTTGCTATATAACTTATGTCTTCATTTGAAACCTTTCAATGGATCCCTTTTTGTCTACTGAATAAAGTTGAAACTCTTTAGCTGGCACTTATCTTTCTACCCCTTTTCCCATAACTTCTTTTAGTGTGTCCTAGGATTCTGCCAAATTAATCTGACCACTCACCAGGAAAATTCTCAGATTTTTTTTTTCTTTCTTTCTTTTTTTTTTTTTTTGAGACAGAGTCTTGCTCTGTCGCCAGGCGCCAGGCTGGAGTGCAGTGGTGCGATCTCAGGTCACTGCAACCTCTGCTTCCCCGGTTCAAGCAGTTCTCCTGCCTCAGCTTCCCGACTAGCTGGGACTACAGGCACACGCCACTGCGCCCAACTAATTTTTGTATTTTTAGTAGAGATGGGGTTTCACCATGTTGGCCAGGATGGTCTCCATCTCTTGAACTTGTGATCCCCCTGCCTCGGCCTCCCACAGTGCTGGGATTACAGGCGTGAGCCACTGTGCCCGGCCTATAATCTCAGATTTTCTGAGTGACAGTTTGGACACACCCATTTTAGAAGGGTGGTGGTTGTAGAAGCCACACTGTAAAAGAAGAAATGACTCCTAATCATAGAGTGGTAACAAATATTCTGCTGCTTCTCTTCAAGCCACAATGCAGAGATGCACACCCCCATTTCTTTGAAGTCAAGCTTGACCAGTGACTTGCTCTGGCCAAAAAAAATGTAGGCAGAAGTGGCGAGTATCACATCCAGGCAGAGGCTGTGCAATTTACCTCCCTTTCTTTTTTTCACTGCCAAGGGTCCCACTGCCTGCATCCACTCAAGCTATGAACACAAAGAGTAGATAAGGTAAAAATGCTGTTGTTGAAGCCTCTGTGAAGTTGCTACAGCATAACCCACTCTTCCTTGACTAGTACAACTAGTAAAGAAATGGAAGCAGTGAATATAAGCCGCTTTCTGGAGGTTTGTTTTTCCACCTAAAAAATCTTCACACATAATACACGTACGTACACAAAATGAAATGTGCCAGTTTATGGGTACTGTTCATGAATTTTAATAAATGTATACACCTGTGTAAGCACTACCCTAACAGAACATTTCCTTTCCATCACCTCAAAACATTTCCTGGGGCCTCTTAGCAATCTGTTTCTTTCTTTTTTTTTTTTTGAGATGGAATCTTGTTCACCCAGGCCGGAGTGTGCCATCTCAGCTCACTGCAACCTCTGCCTCAATAGCTGGAACTACAGGTGCACACCACCATGCCCAGCTAATTTTTGTATTTTTAGTAGAGACGGGGTTTCACCATGTTGGCCAGGACAGTCTCGATCTCTTGACCTCATGATCTGCCCACTTACGCCTCCCAAAGTGCTGGGATTACAGGCGTGAGCCACCGGGCCCGGCCGAAACTCTTATTTTCTACTTAGTTGAGAATGTTACAAAACTTTAAGCCCCATAAAACATTCTATTTTGTGCCCACTATACACACAGTGCCAACGCTGTCTCATACATAGTGGTTGCTGAGTAAACATTTGTTGACTGAATGGGTGTATCTCCCCTGAATTGCTTTTACATGTCTATGTTAGATGACTGGGCACTTTTCTTTTTTTTTTTAGGTATAGGGTCTCACTGTGTCACCCAGATTGGAGTGCAATGGCACCATCATGGCCCACTGCCGCCTCCAGCTCTTGGGCTCAAGCGATCCTCTTCTATTAGCCTCCAGAGTACTTGGACTACAGGCACGCACCACCATGCCCAGCCAATTTTTGTACCTTTTGTAGAGACAGGGGTCTCACTATGTTGCCGAACCTGGTCTTGAACTCCCGGCTCAAATGATCTGCCTGCCTCGGCCTCCCAAAGTGCTAGAATTACAGGGGTGAGTCACTGTGCCCGGCTGGGATGGTTTAATGTAAGAAACTTGAGTTTCTAAAGGAATGTGTGACAAGTGCCCTATTCTGCCTCAGGTGATGGCAGAGGAATGGAGATTGAGCGTGGAGGAAGCCCTGTGAAGTACATGTCTGTAAATCATGAAATAGCATCATTTTCCTTGTGTGGTCTTATTGAAATGGTGACCAAAAAAATCCAGAAAACAAAATCCCACTAGCAGTGTGTCCAATAATCTTTGTTTACCCCCTCCGTATTGTTACGTCAAGACACGGAGCCCAGCTGGGGAATTCTGAATACTAGGTTCTAAAACAGGATTTGTCATAAACGAATTGCTTGATCCTAGACATTCACCTCTAAAATACACTTGACCTAACCTCTCGGGAATGTGGTGAAAATCAAATGGGAGGGAAAGTGGGCAAGCACCTGAACAAGGTACTGAGGCGCGTGAGGTAACACTATAATACCATCCATACCAAGATCTATAACATCCCTGGTTTTCGCCGCGTCCTCCGGGTGGCGGTGGTGCCAGACTGCGCAGGCGCTTCCCTGGGTTCGGCCGCACCCTCTTCTGCCGCTTCCTGCCGCCTCCCCTCGCCCCGGCGCGCGCACGCCGCCCGGCGTCCTCGCTCCCGGTGTGTCGCTCCGAGTGCGCCCGAATAGCCGAGGACGTCCCCGGCACCGGAAGTGACCCTGGCGGGTTTGTCTTCAAATTCTCGGCGAGCAGAAGCGGCGCCGGCAGGTGGTGACGATTGAACTGGGCAGTACTGGGGCCGTGAGCAGAGAGCAAGGTGGCCTGGACTGGGCCAGGCCCTCCTTCCTCGCTGCCGGGACCTCCATTCGGCCAATCTCCTGTGCCTGGCGTTGGGCAGTTCCCCGAGGAGCTTGGGCCGCCGCAGGTGAGACTTCACTCTGATGGTGCTCTGGGAATCCCCGATTTTCCAGGGCCGGGCCGGTGAGGGACTTGGGGGGCTCGCAGCGAGAACCTGCCGCGCATCCCTCCTTGAGCCTGCCTGTGCCTGAGCTGAGGTCTTAGGTCCTTGCTGTTGTCGCCGACACTTTGGTTCAGGTGCCAATCCCCGTACCTGAAGAATCCTGTCCAGCTGGGGACTTTTCGGGTGCTCCTGTCGATCCCATCTTTTGGCCTGTGTCGTTAGCAAGTCACCAGCAGAGAGTTTTTAGTTCTTCGCTGTTTTGACTGGTTCTCTCCCAAATCCGTTCACGTCCCCCACCCCGAAACCCTCACAGGTGAAAACTCCGATGTCCATGCCGTTGGGAGGCATCTTATTTTCTTAAAAGTTGTTAGGTTGAGTGACATTGTTGGGGATGTTATGTCTTTATTCTAGAGCCCGGCGTCCTCTGGGAGGCCTGTGGGCCTTTTGGTTTAGAATTGGTACATTTTAGGTAAGTTTTCCCCCGAAACATTTGTTTCATACAAATGTGATGACAAAGCTAGAGGTAAACGTAGATCCTAAAGTGCCTTACAGTGGATAATCTCAAGCTCTTATTTAATCAAAAATAGTTTCCTGTTGTAACCGCGAAGGGCCGCTTTTATATTAGTTACTAACTTCCAACAGCACAGTGATGCCCCCTTTTGTCTTGAAAACACTAATTTACGTCTTCCTCTTTGAAATCAGACCTTTAGTTACTGCTGAAAACATTCGCGATGTTTTAGAATGTGTGCCTTAGATAACACGTTGATAGTCGCCTTAGTAGATGTTAAGACAGATTCTTGAAATGTTTATACAGGCTTAAACGTCTCAATATAAAGCACTATTTTCTTTTCCAAAGGAGATGGTTTTTGTTCTTACACCAAGAAATAGGAGCAAAACTCTTTGGTTTGTACTGTATTAACATTAACAACTTGGGGCGGCTGCGGTGGCTCACGTCTGTAATCCCAGTACTTTGGGAGGCCAAGGCATCGGATTACGAGGTCAGGAGTTGGAGACCAGCCTGGCCAATATGGTGAAATCCGTCTCTACTAAAAATACAAAAATTAGCCGGAGGTGGTGGTGTGCGCCTGTAGTCCCAGCTTCTAGGGAGGCTGAGGCAGGAGAATCGCTTGAACTTGGGAGCTGGAGGTTGCAGTGAGCCAAGATCACACCACTGCACTCACACTCCTGCCTGTGACGGAGACTCCTCAAAAAAACAAACAAACAAAAAACTTGTGGCCTGTAAATACCTTTAAAAAGAAGCCAGGCAGTGCTGATCAACTTTCCAACATTCCTAGACTTTGAAAAGCTATATAAAGCTTCTTTATAGCACTGGTTATTCAAGAAGCATTTACATTTTTATAGGTTCAGTACTAGGCATGCTCTGTAGTCTACAAAGGGATTCTCCATCTCATTTGGAAACTGGTGTCACCATCCTGACAAATATTTAGGATTAGAGAAGCTTGTTGGAATTTATTAACAACATTGTTGAATTTCTGTTAACAATACTTTGTTTCTTTTTTAGCCACTTGACTGTTTAAAAAAGACAGCATTATCACATAAATATGGTCAATCTTGATAACATGCTAAACAGATTTTACTTGTGGTGTTTATTGATAGGGCTTGAATATGACTTTTAAATTACATTTTAATTATTATACTCACGAATTTGTTTTGTTAGGGTAAACTGAAAGTTTACTGTACAAATAGAGTAGACTTTATATGTACTTTTTTTCTGAACAGGTTTCTTTTTGGCGCTTTTAAAAAATGGTAACTTTCTTGTGCTTAAGTATGATGATATAATATAATATAAGTATAATCATATGATGATTATAAAAGTGAGAAAAATGTATGCCATGCTGTAATTGGTCATGGATCATTCATTCATTGTGCTTATTCATAGTCATCAGTGGCTGACTGTAAATTAGCATGTGGTTTCCTTCATATCCCAGAGATGAACATTCTGAAAATTGCTTATCAATGTATTGCCACTTTTGAAGTCACATACACTTGCTTTACTAAAATGCCTTCAGGGAGATGTGTGATTGGGTTTCGTAATCTTTGTTTTAGTAAGTAAATTTTACAGATAAGTGTTTTAACATTTTCAGGCTTGCAACATTGGTGCTTATTTTTTAGTCTGTGTTTAATAATATTTTATGCTTGTCTACTCTTATTAAGCAAAGAAGAAAAAAAACACCTTGAATAAATAAGGTGATATCCCTTCCATTAAACTTCAAGGATTTCAAGGTCTAATTCTGTCTTAATTTTGTCTTCAGTGCAATTCCTTGCAACTCAGTTGATGTTCCTTAAATATCTGTTGAATGAATGACCTGTGCATGATATGTTTAAAAACTGCAAATAAGTGGAACCCAGCCTGAGTCCTTTAAAAATTAAATGGGTAAGGTATCCTCTTCAGGTGTGAAATAGGCAGGGCCCTGTATTTGTTGTTTAGAGACAGAATAAGAATGTTAGAACTCAGATATTTGGATACTTTGCCTGTTCTTTTTCAGTCTTTTTGATCACTTGTTTTTCCTAATCCTAGAGAAGAAAAAAAATAACTTTCTCTGTGGAAGCACAACACTGCATCACATACTATATTTGCTAGAAATTTTGCTGTAAAATTGGGATTTCAGTATTTTAAAAAATTTGATTGTCACTTGAATTAAAATTTCACATTGCATCTTGCTCAGTTTAAATAATTTAGTCATTAGCTGACTCATAAATACTGAAGGCATGTAAGCAAAAGAGTGATTCTGTTAGAATAATGTAAAGGAAAAACTTGCTGTGAGATAAAGCAAGCATAGCCTATGGTTATTCTCTAATAATCCATGTAACCAAGAGCCTGAATTTTGGGACAATCTCATTTTTATAAGTGTTTTATTAATGTTGAACCAATAGATTGTGTTTATAGTTCATAGTGCTTAAAATGTATCAATCAGCTTGTTTTCAAATAGATTCATTTCTTCAAATATTGCCAGATATTGTGCTAAATAGACCCAGTTTCTAGTCTTCCTACAGTGGAACTTTAGCAATGATAACGATATGTTTTTGAAAATTGGGAGAATTTCATAAATTTACAGTTGTGACATTCATTTGAGAAGGTTGTTTTAGGCTTAGAGATTAATAAGGGAATGGGGAAAATTATTTTCGACTAACATTTAGTGGACTTAGAGTGCTTTAATACTGTTTTCTGCAAACACATTGTTTCTTTGATAATCAGGGATTTTTCAGGTCATGTGTTAATGTGGCCTTGGATTAGACTTAACGTTTATGTTTGTTAGAAAATATCAATTCATTGGCTTCTAAAGAATTTTATCTGACTAGAAAGAGTTCAAGACATGGAACCTTAAAGAAGGCTTGGAGTGAATTCTATGAGTTTTGGGCCATTGAGTCATGGCCCATAAGAAAAAAAACGAGGACCACCTATGTATAAGTAATAATTTAAATTTATTTTTTATTTTATTTTATTTATTTATTTTTGAGACAGAGCCTTACTTTCTTACCCAGGCTGGAGTGCAGTGGCGTGATCACAGCTCACTGCAGCTTTGACCTCCTGGGCTCAGGTGATCCTCCCACCTCAGCCTCCTGGTAGCTAGGACTATAGGCACTCCCCATCATGCCCAGCTAATTTTTTGTAGAGACAGGGTTTCATTATGTTGACCAGGCTAGTCTTGAACTTCTGGGCTCAAGTGATCCTCCCACCTCAAACCCCGCAAAGTACTAGGATTACAGGGGTGAACCACCATGCCTGACTATTTTTGATTTTTTTTAGTGGGAAAATGGGAAGAAAGATCTCCAGGGAGACTATTGAGGAAAAGAAGGAGAGAGGGAAAAGACATGAAAGGCTTGACATCCAAGCCCATCTAGAACAACTGTATACTTTTAGTAGCAGGCCCCAATTATACTTTTCTAATACTCTTGCCTAGACTAGGTGTCTCTATAGGGCATGGATGGCTTCAGGGCAGAAGTAATCACGCAAGAATCAAGCTGTAATCCCAGCTTGGAAGGGATAAGCTGAGGATCAAGGAATGTGAACATGCTGAGGGTCAGGAACTGGACAAGGTAAGAACTCTTGGTAGTTACAACAGAAACCTGGCCAGGCACAGGCACAGTAGCTCGTGCCTGTAATCCTAGCACTTTGGGAGGCTAAGGTGGGTTGATCACTTGAGCCCAGGAGTTCAAGACCAGCCTGGGCAACATGGTGAAATCTGCGTCTCTATAAAACATACCAAAAATAAAAATAAAAAAAATTAGCTTGGCGTGGTAGTGTACATCTGTGGTCCCAGCTACGCAGGATCAGGTGAGCCCAGAAGATCAAGGCTGCAGTGAGCTGTGATGGCGCCAGCCTGGGCTAGAGTAAGACCCTGTCCAAAAAAAAAAAAACAACAACAACAACTAGGCAGTATTCAATCAAAGATTTATTGAGATCTACTATTTGAGAACGTGGTTCTAGGTGCTAGAGATATATCAGTAAATAACAGTGAGATATGGCCCTTGGCCATTAGGCTTTTGTTAAGACATAATATGATCAGTGGTCATGAATCCAGAGAGGCACTATTTAGGTCATAGGATTTTATTCCTTTTCTTTTGGAGCTCAGATGCCCAGTCTTGAGTTACTCATAGACCTCAGTTCATAGCTATATTGGTTCATAACAGATTATCCCAAAACTTGGTGACTTAAAACAGCAAACATTTATTATCACTCTCACTGTTTCACTGGGTCAGGAATTTGGGCATGACTTAGCTGGATGCCTCAGATTCAGGGTGGTTTTCAGAGCTGTAATCAGGTATCATCCAGGGCTGTAGTCATCTCCAGGCTCTAGTGAGGAAGGATTCACTTCTGATCTCACTCACATGGTTGTTGGCAGGATTTGGCTCCTCAGGGGCTATTGGACTGAGGGCCTCAGTTCTTCACTGGTTGTTGGCCTGGAGCCTCCCTCAGCTCTTTGCCATGTGGGCCTCTGCCCAGGCAGCTCACTGCATGGAGCTGGTATTCCATTTGAGTGGGGTGAGCAAGAGACAGCAAGCAAGATGGAAGTCATAGTCTAATCTCAGAAATGATATTATGTTATTTGTTACAAGCACACATTCAAGGGCTAGTAATTATATAAGTACAGATACCAAGAGGCAAAGGTCACTGAGTGCCATCTGGGAGGCCCTCTGTGATTATCTATGGATATAAAGCCCTTCTTTTGTTGTATTTATTTTTTGCTTCTCCCCTATCCTTCATAAGCAGTTTCTCCACTCACATTTTCCTCTTCACCTTCCATAGACTTTCTAATATATTTAAGGTACTTTCTTGGATACGTATGCATCCTTTAAAAATAAGTATTTTATATAGTGTGTATATTTTTAATTTATAAAATGACATTGGGATTTAGACCTTGTTCTATGTCTGAGACCTTTTTTTCACCCAACCCTGTATTTTGAAGATCTATCCATGTTGCTGTATGTAAATTTTATTCATTGCTTCTGCCTGCTACATGGTGTTCTGTGGTCTGCCACATTTCCCCTAGCTGTGAATAAATAGATTGGCCGTACTTGATTTCTCAAACATTTCTGTCATTAACATCCAAAACCAAGTTCCTTTATGGATCTGTGTGAGACTTTCTCTGGAAGATTTACACAAGAGTGGGATTGCTGGGTCATGGGGTGTATATATACATATATTCACATATATATATGTGTGTGTATATATATACACACACATATATATATGCATATATAATTTCCCCAAGTACTGCCAGATTGCACTCCCAAATGACAGTGCCAGTTTATGCCTGCAAATTGATGTAAAGGTTTTTTTTTTCACTAGCCCTTGCCAGCACTTAGTTTATTGGACTTAATTTTATTTTGAGTCTGGTTAAAAAAAAGGGGTCTCTCATGGCTTCAGTTTATATTTATTGGTTACTCCTGTCTGTGCTTGTTAGCCATTTGAGTTTCCTTTCTGTGAACTGTCCTTTATGCTCTTTCCTTATTTTCTTGTGAGGTATTTTAGTCCATTAATGTGAGGAATTACAGTGATAGGATTTTCTGATCTTAAGTCATCTGTGCATTTCTGGGATAAACCCTTCTTGATCATGGGGTGTGAGTGTGTGTGTGTGTCGATGCATTGTAGGTCAGCTAATATTAGGATTTCCATGTTCATAAGTGAAATGGCTCTTTTGTTCTTATTTAGTGCACAATTGAGATGATTTTAGCGTCATAAAAAAGAGTTGCTCAGCTTTTCTCTTGTTTTCTGGATCAGCTTTTATGTGGTTAGAATTATATCTGTTTAGAAGTTTGTTTTTTTTAAAAAAAAGCCCTGAAAAACAAAAGAAACTTGCTTAATAGAAGTCATCTGGGCCTGGAACTTTTTTGTTTGTTTGTTTTAAATGTTTTCTTGAGACACAGTCTCACTCTGTCTCTGTTGCCCAGGCTGGAGTATAGTGGCACTATCTTGCCTCACTGCAGCTTTGACGTCCCCAGGCTCAGGTGATCCTCCCACCTCAGCCTCCTGAGTAGCTGGAACTACAGGTGCACACCACCATGCTCTGCTAATTTTTGTATTCATTGTAGAGACGGGGTTTTGCCGTGTTGCCCAGGCTGGTCTTGAACTCCTAAGCTCAAGCAGTCCTCCTGCCTCAGTGTCCCAAAGTGCTGGGATTACAGGCATGAGCCACTGTGCCTGGCTGTGACCACGCTTAAGAGCTGTTGTGTTGACATCTCTTTTTTCATCAGCTCCTCACTCTTCCCAAGTCTCTGTTTGCCCTGAAATACTCTGCTGTCTCTATCTGGTACTGAGCTGGCACTGCTGTTTTTCTTTCTGATGGTGGGTTAGGGCTAGAGTGAGCAAAGATTGGCCAGTGCAGTGAAAGTCAGAAAGGATGCAGCTAGAATACTAGCTATGAAATACACTTATCTAGATACCCTACTGACACACAAAAGAAGTAAAAAAGTCTTGTTTTCTTTATACTTATATGTCCGCTCAGGTTGCTGTCGTCTTTCATGATTTCTTCACCTTTTTAGTCCCCTAGGCTTGAAACTTTATTCATTTTCAACATTTTTTCCACACAGTGAGTTCCTAAGTAATCTCAGCAGTTCTTTCATCACAGTGTTTCTGATTTGTTTCTTTTTATTCCCATAGCTGCATTCCTAATCCAAATTATTGCCCTCTCAAAAGCACATAAATCTTTCCAGCCTTGAACTTTACCATGTGATTTACAGTTAGAAAATAATAATAGCATTGTGAACATTAACAAAGCTGACATTTATCAAATGTCTGCTTTAATGCTTTATAACCACATCTATGTATCCATATCCTACTAAGTGCAAAGGTTGGATTAGGTTGTCATATGCAGAAGGTTTCATGGCAGATAGGTTTAACATTTATTAAAGACCTACTTTTTGTCAAATAGTATGCTTAGTACTTTAAATAGTCATTTAGTCTTTATAGCATAACTCCTGAAAGTAGATGCTATGCCACTTCTATAGATTTAAAAATAGGCTTAGAAAAAAGTTAAGGGATTTGACTAAGGTGACAGAATTAGAATTCTAGCCAAAATTTTTTCTAACATCAAAACACATAGACCTTCTGCTAATCCATACTGCTTCAAAAATGTATCTAATATTCATTATTCATTCTGCAGATGTTTAATAAGATGTGTGTCATGCAAGGATCATATAGTCTCACACCTTTCTGGTGCAAATCCTGCTGTCAGATAACAATCTACTAGAGATTTGACATATATAGAAACTATAGTTTGAAGTAGCCAAGTGCCTTGGGATGAAAGGCACAGTAAAGTGTCAGGGAACTTTAGAGGAGGGAGACATTATTTTGAACTGAGGTTCAGTGGTTAGACATACCAGAAAAACTACCATCTGAGCTGGGCTTTGACACATAGGGAGGGTTTGAATGTGGGAACTTTTTTTTAAAAAATGTTTTATTTATTTATTTATTTATTTTTAAAAAGAGTCTGGCTCTGTCTCACAGGCTGGAGTGCAGTGGTGCCATCTCTGCCCACTGCAAACTCTGCTACCCTGGTTAAAGTGATTCTTGTACTTCAGCCTCCCGAGTAGCTGGGACTACAGGTGTGCGCCACCACATCCAGCTAATTTTTGTATATTTAGTAGAGACAGGATTTTGCCATATTGGCCAGGCTGGTCTTGACCTCCTGGCCTCAAGTGATCTGCCTGCCTTGGCCTCTTAAAATATTTCTTGGGCACGTTGTCTCATGCCTGTAATCCCAGCAATTTGGGAGACCAAGGCAGGTGGATTACGTGAGGTCAGGAGTTGAAGACCAGCCTGGCCAACATGGTAAAACCCTGTCTCTACAAAAATACAAAAAAAAAATTAGCTGGGTGTGGTGGCGGGTGCCTGTAATCCCAGCTACTGTGGAGGCTGAGGTGGAAGAATCACTTGAACCTGGGAGACAGGAGTTAAAGTGAGCTGAGATTGCACCATTGCATTCCAGCCTGGATGACAGAGCGAGACTCCGTCTCAAAAAAAAAAAGTCTTTGAAGAAGTGGAAATAGCGTGAACACACATACAGAGATGGGAAATGTGGTATGTGTGATTGTGAATTTCTTGAGGGAGGCTTGGAAAATATTTTTTAATAACTAGGGTACTTATTTTTAAGAGACATGTAAATTTAAAATGTTTCTTTTTCTTCTTCTTCTTTTTTTAGCTTACAACTGAACATGAGTCTTCTTATGATTAGTGAGAATGTCAAATTGGCTCGTGAATATGCATTGCTGGGAAACTATGACTCTGCAATGGTCTATTATCAGGGAGTTCTTGACCAAATGAACAAGTATCTGTACTCAGTCAAAGATACATATCTCCAGCAGAAATGGCAACAGGTGAGAATAATGGCTGCTGTATATTTTAATGGCTTAAGATTTCAGAAGAGAAAATTTAGATCAAATGTCAATGCTATATGTAGTTACATGTTAAGAACGTATGGCCACTGAGCACAGTACCTAGTGACTCACTCCTGTAATCCTAGCACTTTGAGAAGTCAAAGCAGAAGGATCACTTGAGGCGAGGAGTTCAAGTACAACCTGGACAACATAGCAAGACTTCATCTCTACACAAATAAAACAATTAGCCAGATATGGTGGTACATGCCTATAGTCCTAGCTACTAGGGAGGCTGAGGTGGGAGAATCACTTGAGCCTGGGAGGCTGAGGCTTCAATGAGCTATGCTTGTACCACTACACTCCAGCCTGGGCAACAGAGCTAGACCTTGTCTCAAAAATAAAAAACAAAACAAAACATGAATATGTGATTTATTACACAGTTTTGCATATAATACTTGAAACTGAATTTATTATATTAATAATAATCCACTTTCACCATCAGCAGTATTATGAGTTCTACTTAATTCTAATTGCCGGAATCCGATAAGCGTTCTTTAAAATAATGGTTTTGACATTTTTTTCTTCATTAGATTTTTACCCGGTAAAAATAGAGTAGACTTTATTAAGCCATTGTCGAAACTGTAAATGGCTTGTGAATATCACGGATGGTACCAAATTCTTTTTTTTTTTTTTTTTTTTTTTTTAAAAATGTAAAAAGGTTGTGAATATCACGGATGGTACCAAATTCTTTTTTTTTTTTTTTTTTTAATTTTTGAGAGAATGTCTTGCTCTGTGGCCCAGGAGGGATGCAGTGGTGCAATCACTGAAGCATTGATCTCAAGGTTCAACAATCCTCCCACCTCAGCCTCCTGAGTAGGTGGAACCACAGGTGTGCCCCACCATGACCTGCTAATTTTTAATTTTTTTGGCAGAGATGGGCTCTCCCTGTATTTCCCAGGCTGGTTTCAAGCTCCTAGGCTCAAGAGATTCTCCCACTTCAGCCTCCCAAAGTGCTGGGATTACAGGTGTGAGCCACCACACCCAGCCCCATATTCCTGTATAATAGAACTTTATAAAGCAGGTTATGGTTGGATCCCATTGAGAAACTTCAGTTACTGAGGACCAACAGAAATTTAAAATTGGAAATTGTAGAACTTACAGGTCCAGTGGAGGCTGGCATTTATAATAAGTCTCAACTATATCACAAGAGGAAAGAAATGTTAACAAAGTGATAGTCTTTTTGAGCTGATCTTCTAGATAGAATATTATACCTCAGATTCTACTGAGCTGCTTTTTAAATATTGTTCCATATTTTTCCTTAATTTTTTTTTGAGAGAAACAGCCTATCTCTTTGAACTTAATCTGTTTCCTTGTATCTGTTCCTCCATATCCTTTACTACATCCATATCATTACCAGAAGGGGCAAATCTTTTATTTTATTTATCTTTATTTTTTATAGAGATGACGTCTCACTATGTTGTTCAGGCTGGTCTTGAACTCCTGGGTTCAAATGATCCTCTTGCCTTGGCCTCCCAAAGTGCTAGGATTATAGGCATGAGTCACCATTCTCGGCCTGGAAAATACTTAATTTCGTAAGGAATCTGAAGTTTGTCAGTGAAGAACTTTTTAGACATCTTGTTGTTAGGCCAAAGACTTTTACTTAAGTGTAAGCTTTTGTTTAAAGACACTTAAGATTAAATCATTTAAACTATAAAACAAAACATTATCACCTTAAATTTCATTTCAATAGTTTTTTTACTATTTTCTTTTCTTTCTGTTTTCTTTTGAAATGTAGTTTTGCTCTTGTTGCCCAGGCTGGAGTGCAATGGCATATTCTCAGCTCACTGCAACCTCCACCTCCTGGGTTCAAGCCATTCTCCTGCCTCAGTCTCCTGAGTAGCTGGGATTATAGGTGCCTGTCACCACACCTGGCTAATTTTTGTATTTTTAGTAGAGACGGGTTTTGCCATGTTGGCCAGGCTGGTTTTTAACTCCTGACCTCAGGTGATGCACCTGCGTTGGGTTTCCACAGTGCTGGGATT